TTTTAGTAGTGTGAAATAAAGTCTATCTTCTGTGACTACTAATAATGTGATGCGTCTCATTGATAACATTTTCGACTTTTGAACACATCGTAGGCCCGTCCGATAATAATAAGTCTAACTCTACATGCCAACTTCTAAGTCACCCTATTATAAACCAAAAGGAATGACATTATCTCAAAAATAAATCTAATAAATCAAGTTTGATTAGATTATTTAAGTTTATAATAAGCCTTTTATAATGCAAAGCAGTATGTTGATAACTCTATCGGTATCGACATTGATATAGAGTGGTCCCGTTGTCGTTCTTCTCATCCATAATAATCACTTGTGACTCTCAACAATGCTGTTGTCCTCTTATTATCTTTTATTTTTATATTTTTATTGATAAATCGATCACATTAGGATACATACATCTAAATGTTTGAATCGATCATCTATCTGATTGATTATACATGCCATTCCATGATTGCACCAAGCCATCTTTAAATGTTTGGTTCAACCATGTGTAAGCGCCACGTGGATCAAATATATAATGATATAAAGGTAAATCCCGTGGTAACATATGTCTACGATGATAGAAATAAGTCAACCATTCATGTGAGTATTTATTAATGGACGTCGAATAGCCCAACACAAAAAGCCCAATATTAGAATAATTAGGCCCAACCCAAGCCCATTAAAATTTGTGCTGCCTCTCGATGCTTCATATCATGTTGATCTCAGCCGTTAAGTTATTATCTTAATCTAATCGTGGCCGCTCATGCTTCCACGGTAGTTGTTTTATATCGCCGCTTAGAAACGATGTGTCCCTGGGAAGAGGCCCGAGCATAACAATGGCCTCCGCCGTCTCCACCGCCGCCTTCCCATGCCCTAACCCTACCCTCTTCCTCCGCCACCGGCCCTCTCCACCGCCTTCTCTGCTCCGCCTCCCCCACCGCTCTCCGCGCCCCGGAGACCTCCGTCTCCGCGCTCGCGCCACCGTCACCCCCCGTTCGCCCTCCTCCCTCCTATCCGACTCCACTCGGACACTCGCCTCCCTCCTCGCCCTCGCCCTCTCCGCCTCCAAGGCCGTCCTCTCCGGCGTCCGTCGCCTCGCCGAGCGCGCCGCCGCGGCGGCCGCCCCCTCCCCGGACGAGCTCGCCGAGCTCCGCTCCATCCAAGGCAACCTGGCCTGGGCGGCCGGGCCCCTCTTCTTCGCCGCGCGCCGGATGAAGCGGCCGTCGGGATACCTCAACACCCCGCTCACCGTAGTCGCGGCGGGGATGGCGAAATGGTTGGACATCTACAGCGGAGTGTTGATGGTGAGGGTACTGCTGAGCTGGTTCCCCAACATCCCTTGGGATCGCCAGCCTCTGTCGGCGATCCGGGACCTGTGCGACCCGTACCTCAACCTCTTCAGGAACATCATCCCGCCGGTCTTTGATACCCTCGATGTCAGCCCCCTTCTGGCTTTCGCTGTCTTGGGGACTCTTGGATCGATCTTGAACAACAGCCGGGGAACGTATTGAGGAGGCGACAGGGAAAAAGTATGTTCATTCATCTCTTTCATTGAACACATCTTTGATTTGTTGGATTATATGTGTCCAATAGCTGCCATGCTTGAATTTGGATTGGTGAAGATTACTTAACATTGTTTGCTTGAAGAGAAGTGAGGTGAACATGGATTTATGAATTAAATATACTTGGTTGTTATGCAATTGTTTAGAAGCTCTTCTTGTCTTGTTAAGTATGCATATCTATCTTACTTAATTGCTACTTAAAAAAGGAGGATTTATTCTCTGTAGCCACCCGAGTTAATTCATAACTTACTTAATTGTCACCTGGAATGGAGGACGTGTTCTATGCAGTCACCAGTGTGCTCTGATAAAAACCAGAAAAGGAAATCCTTGTTGCTAATATCCTTGTTTTATTTTTGTAATATTTAGAAAAAATCACTTCTAAATGTGGAATATAAGTAATCTGCTGATGGAAACCTTCCACTTGAATTTTCTGTATTCTTTTTCTCTTTCTTTAATTTTGTGATTATTAACTTATTCTTGGCTGAAAAGGTTGACCCAGTGATTATTAACTTATTCTTGGATTCTTGAGCTTTCAAAGAGCATTATTCTTTTGTGATCTAAGTGATTGAGGTTCAAGTAATGGAATCAGCTTCTCTCTCTCTCTC